GACACAGACACACACAGACACACACATACATACACACACACATACAGACACAGACACACACAGAGACACAGACACACACACACAGACACAGACGCACAGAGATAGACACACAGACACAGACACACAGAGACAGACACACAGACACACACACATACACACAGACACACACATACATACACACACACACAGACACAGACACACACAGAGACACAGACACACACAGACACAGACGCACAGAGACAGGCACACACACACACACACACACACACACACACACACCCCTGCCATTGGCTTCCCGGTCAGTTTAGTAGAGACCCAGGCCCTCCCTGTGTCAACACTGCCTTCTGTCCCGGGCCTGTCAGAGAAAGCTGGGGAAGGGACAGTACTTCCATGCCAGGCCCACCTCTCTTTTACCACCTATGTGCTGGCGCTTTGTTCCTGGTTCCCAGTCTTGTGACATGCAAATACTTGACCAGGAATCTGCCCGGACAGGGCACTTTGGTTACGGCAGAGCTTTGTCCACCCCAGCCATGACTGGCCTTGCCCGTGGACCTCACCCGCTGCCCATCGTGCCCTGACCAGGAAGAAGGAAACCTGAAAGCTCTCTTGCTCCTCCTAAACCTTCACAAACGCACATTCTGAAGTCCAGTCTAAATATTTAGAGGTTCTGGATCACCCTGATCTCTTCCATTAGCTTGGACAATTTTAAAGACACTGTAGCATTTTAATGATAATCGTGGCAGCTACTGAGCTGTGATTTCAGGGTGGCTGAGGATGCCATGCTCCCTGAAAGCTCTGCCCAGAGGCCTCCGTATCTCCAGCTTCCGGAGCAACGCCTCCGCCCTCCAGTTTCTTCGCTGCGTCAGTCTCTCTCTGCACCTTCTGTGTCCTGGTGTCATCTCTTCTCTAAGGACACTGGGGATATTGAATGCAGGGACCACCTTAATCCAGTACAATCTCATTTGAATTTAGCTAATTACACCTGCAAAGTCCCTAATTCCAAATAAAGAAATACTGAAAATCCCTTTGGTTCAGCCAAGGGAGCAGAGCTGACCGAGGGCCCCAGCTACCGGCTCTGAAATGCATCATGGCTTCACTCAAGGCCCCTTCACGAGCGCGGCTCCCCTCCCTGAGGCTGGGGTGGGAAGGGATTACCTGCTTCCCCAGGATATCTCTGACAGCTGGCTTTCATGCAAGGACAGCCGATGGCTTTGTGGAGCCTTAGATGGCATGGCAGCCAAAGGCAGGTCCCCCGATCTTCCCTCCCTGCTCCTCACACTCCCAGAGTTTGCCCCAATAACCACCCTGCATCTGGAACCCAGTCTCCCAGTCTGAGCATCAACTTCTTGGAATAGGCAGACTAACCCCTTTTTCCTCATCACCATAGCACCCACTTGAGGAAGATGCCGTTATTGTCCCTGTTTTGTGGATGAGGAGACAGAGGTGCAGAGCTGGGAGTGTGTGGAGGCGCGTTAGCAAGGACGACCTGGTCTCAGCTCAGTCTTTTCTGTCGCATTTTGTCCCATTTGTTTTCTTTTTTGAGAAGGAGTCTCACTCTCTTGCTCAGGCTGGAGTGCAGTGGCGCCATCTCGGCTCACTACAACCTCCACCTCCCAGGTTCAAGTGATTCTCCTGCCTCAGCCTCCCGAGTAGCTGGGATTACAGGTGAGTGCCACCATGCCCAGCTAATTTTTTATATTTTTAATAGAGACAGTGTTTCACCATGTTGGCCAGGCTGGTCTCGAACTCCTGACCTCAAGTGATCTGCCCGCCCGCCTTGGCCTCCCAAAGTGCTGGGATTACAGGTGTGATCCACCATGCCCGGACTGTCTCATTTGTTTCTGATGACAGTAGACACAGACTCTTTTCCGAGTTGTGGATTAGGCATACCGTCCTCCTTCCAGAACAGCCGAGGCCCTGCAGTTCATGACGTTTGGTGACATCTACTGGATCAGACCGTTCAGATTAGCGAGCTCTGGGAACATCCTCTTCTGTATGAAAGCATCCTCCGAATATCAGCGTCAGTTTCTCGTGGTCTGTCTCCCGATAACGGGGCAGTGGCCACAAGGGCCTGTCAGTGCTGTGATGTGAAAAGCAGCAAGTCTCCTGGTGTCCTGGGAAAGGTTACGCCCCTTAAGTAAAACAAATCTTACTCATCTGAGGCAAGAGGTGCAGCAGCTGTGAGCGGCCACGCAGAAAGATGTGTGGCAGGAGATTCCTGTCCCCAAAGCAGAACACACCCCTCTGCAGCCAGCAGCAAGCAGCAAGCCGGAACCAATGAAAACCCATGCTGTGGACACTGAATAAAGCGATACAACACTGGAGGGGATCTTTCTTTTTCTTTTTTTTTTTTTTTGAGACGGAGTTCCGCTGTTGTTACCCAGACTGCAGTGCAATGGCACAATCTTGGCTCACCGCAACCTCCGCCTCCTGGGTTCAAGCAATTCTCCTGCCTCAGCCTCCCGAGTAGCTGGGACCACAGGCGTGCACCACCATGCCCAGCTAAATTTTGTATTTTTAGTAGAGACGGGCTTTCACCTTGTTGACCAGGATGGTCTCAATCTCTTGACCTCGTGATCCACCCGCCTGCCTCCCAAAGTGCTGGGATTACAGGTGTGAGCCACTGCACCCGGCCAGGAGGGATATTCCTACTTGAGAGTTACTATTTTTACACACACACACACACACACACACACACACACGGCTGGCAAAGCACATGGGAAGGTGAGGGCCTTATCCTTGAAGATGCTGCAGTGCTAAAACGGATTCTGGGAGGATTCCATGTGGGCAGCTCAGCCCTGGGTGAAGCAGTGGGGCTCTGCACCCTCACCTGGGGGCCCGGGGGCCACCAGGCTGCTGGAGCCAGGGCCTGGGGCTCTGCCACTGATGGTGTGACTTTGGGGTAGCCACTAGGGTCCTCAGGGCTCTCTGGCTTCCCTGGGGAGAAATGGGGATGAGCCGAGACAGTTGTCCCATTTCCTTTCAGCTCCCCTCCAGTTTGTGGTGCAAGAGGTTACAACTGAGGCCTTAGGAAGGGAGGCAGGCAGAGGAAGAGCTGGCTGGGGGCTCCGGGGTCCCTGGATCCCAGGGAGGGGTGAGATTTCTGGAAGTGGAGATGGCAGAGTGAGTGTTATGGACTAGACAGTGTCTTAAAAAGCACGGTCAACTAAGGTGACAGATGCTTACAGGTAAGAGGGCAGCCCCAGCCTGGCCTCCCCGATGTTTCTGGAATGGACCTGTGGGCCTGCCCCCGTCGGGGCTGCTTCGGCGGGAACTGCCAGTGAATCCCTCTTTTCCCATCCCCTGCGGGAGCCTCCATCTGAAGCTCCCAGGCCTGCCTAGCTGACCCACCCAGCCATGGCCCAAGCTCCGGGGCTGCTGGAGGGCACCTCTGCTGGCAGCCCCTGGCTCAGGTCCCAGCACAGCCCCCCCACCCAGGCTGGCGCAGCTGCAGGTTGCCTGAGAGATGCCATCAGTTTTGCAGGGCGAAATCGTTAAGAGCTCCTCCCGTCTCCTCGCCCTCACTGGGGCATCTCAGGAAAGGCCAGCTTGTGAACACAGGGGCAAGGCCTGGCCCCCAGTTGGCCTTGGGGGGAGGTGGGGAAGCAGTTGAGAGGGTAACAGAGGAGAGAAGGGGAGGCAGCATCCCAGGCCCCTCTTGGCCTTCATCTTCCTGTGTACTGGACAGATTCCTGAGGTAACTCGGGCAAGTGACCTGAACTCTCTTTTCTGCTTCTGTGAAATGGGGACAATGACGGACCCTCCCCCAAAGGGCTGCTCTGAGAGTTTTATGAACACAAGTTCACAGTGCAGTGCCTGGCTCACGTAACCGCCACTGCTGTTCTTGTCATACTAGTCACTTTCTTGTGGCCCAAAGCCACCGCACAGGGTACCCCCGGCTTCTCCACTCACAGGTCATCACATCCTAGAAGGGGAGGACACTGGGGCCTGGTGTAGCCGACTGACCAGACCCAAGGCTGAGCTTGGGTCATGGACAGTGGAGTCCTGGCGGTTCCCACCAAGACAGAGACCAGGATTAGTCCCTGAGGCCACCACCCTGCTGTCAGCAAACCCTGGGCTCCTCTCGTGATCCAGTGTAAGGCGCAGCCACACCTGCTCTTCCTGGGGAAATGGGCCCACACCACAGCCACGGCTCCTCCAGAAAAGACGAGAAGCCACTTAGGGCTCCTTCCGGTCTCTTAGGCTGGGGATCCAATTGGGACTGGCCAGGTGGGGAGGCAGGGGCTGCCCGTGATGGGTGCACCTGTGGGAGTGGGGTGGGGACTGCAACACGTGGGAGGAGGCTCAGGGGCCCTTGGGGGAGGCTGCAGTGATGCGCTGCCTGGGTTCCGGGGGGCCCATCCAAGGCTGGGTGGGGGTGGCCCCACGTGGCTGTGGTGTGCTAAAGCTGAACCTCCAAGGCCACGGCACTGGCTGCCGTGTTTGGATGGGGCTGCAATGTGGGGCAGATGGAGAGGCCAAGTCGCAGGTGACAGGGGAGTGGACTCTCTTCAGTCACTGGAGAAGGGACAGGTCCTGGGGGGTGCAGGGACCTGAAGTCAGAGGACACCAAGGAGGGACTGTGGAGGGACCCTTTCGGGAGCCAGAGCCTTCTGGAAGCCCAGCTTATAGGTGTGGGCATGGGCAGAAGCTTGGATGAGGATCAGGGAGGTGAGGGGCCGAGGGTCCAGCCTGGTGATACCTTGGGGACAGACAGCAAGAACTTGCACCCGAGGCCCCAGCCAACTGTTGGGGGGAGGACGGCCCTTCCTGGTCTGTGATCTCAGTGCGCACCCCCCTGGTCTGGACTATGTGGTCGGAGAGGGGGGCAGCGGGGACCCTGGAATCCCCAGGAGCACCTCTGTACACTCAGCACTGGCCCCAGTGTCACCTCTGAGCAAAGGCCCCTGATGCCTCCTGTCAGAGGAAAGAGTCCGCAGGGCCTGGCTTTCCACCCTTCTCCCAGTGACAGGTTCCCAGAGGTGACGCCACTTCCCAGGTTCAAGAATATCCTTTTAATCATACACCATTCATCTACAAACGCAGCTATGGGGTAAGCAGTCTGGGCTGGGACCTTCCCAGAGGTAAGTCAGGCTCACGTCCCTGCCCCCTTCCTAGAGGTCCCTGGAGGTGGCCTCCAGCCAGGGGGACTTCCAAGTTAATGCCAGAGCCTCGAGTACTCTTGACTCCTGTGAACTCTTCTCGGCTGGAGGAAGAGGGGCATTGCAGGCCTGCTATGTCCCAAGGCCCCAGAAGCTTCCCTGCCCAGGCCTGCCTGGCCTCACCCTGCAGGCTGGGTGCACCTGCGGGCAGCCTGGGTGCCGCCTACACGATGCCCTCTGTGCGCTTGCTCTGCCAGACCACCAGCGCCGTCACCAGCAGGGTCACCACGATGGGGACCACGACGAAAGGGTAGAGGATGCTGCTGGGCGGGTCCCGCACGGCCCTGCCTGAGACGGGGCAGCTCCTGAAGTAGTGCCCGTGCACTGCCAGGAAGAACCTGTCCACCTCTGCGTTGGGCCAGAAGCAGCCCAGTTTCTCAGTCACCTGCCAGGTGCAGTCGGCCAGATCCCTGTAGCTCCTGTGGGTGGAAGAGGAGGTGGTGAGACCCTGGGCAGGCGGTAGGACTCCAGCTGGGGCCCTGCACTGTGGCCCCTCATGTAGCCACACGGCCCTGAAGCTTAGCTCGAAACCCCGGCGCCGAGGCAGTGGCCCTGGATCCAGAGGGCAGGACCCCAACGGCTCCAAGGGGATGCCCAGATAACCTGCATGGCAGCCTGTGGCACAGGAAGCCCTGGCACGGCTGTGGGGCCTCTCGCAGCTCTGCCTGCATCATGAGGACGAACCCAGCTGGGTGGCCGATGAGGCCCGCACCTCCTCCACCACCCAGGGTGAGATCTGAGGCTGGTGTCGCACCCTGGATGTGGGGAGGGCAGAAGCCAGCTGCCTTGCTGCCCTGGGTGAAGATGGAAACCCAGGGGGGGCTCGGTGCATGACCATGGGTGAGGTGTGACTGCCATTCTCCGTGTCTGACTGTGTGCAGCTGTAACTGTTATTCTGTATGCCTGTGTTGTTGTGTGTGTGACTTGGGTGTGCGTAACTGTTATTCTGTGTGTGTGATTGTGTATGTGTGACTGTTATTCTGTGTGATTGTATGTGACTCTGTGTGTAGCTTCCAGGTTAATGGCTGTTATTCTCTGTGTGTGACTGTGTGACCGTCATTTTCTGTGTGTGACTTGTTATTCCCTGTATGTGACTATATGTGACTTATTCTATGTGTGACTATATGTGTGGGTGTAACTGTTTTATTCTGTGTGTGACTGTGTTCTCTGTGTGACTGTTACTCTGTATGCGACTGTGTGTAACTTTTTTTTTTGAGATGGAGTCTCACTCTGTTGCTCCATCGCCCAGGCTGGAGTGCAGAGGCGCGATCTCAGCTCACTACAACCTCTGCCTACTGGGTTCAGGCGATTCTCCTGCCTCAGCCTCCTGAGTAGCTGGGACTACAGGCATGTGCCACCATGCCCAGCTAGTTTTTGTATTTTTAGTAGTGACGGGGTTTCACCATGTTGGTCAGGATGGTCCTGAACCCCTGATCTCAGGTGATATGCCAACCTTGGCCTCCCAAAGGGCTGGGATTATAGGCATGAACCACCGTGCCCAGCTGTATAACTGTTATTCTCTGTGTGTGACTGTTATTCTGTGTGACTGTGTGTGATGTGTCACGGTGTGTGTTATTCTGTCTGTGACTGTATATGACTGTGTTATTCTGTGACTGTGTATAACTGTTATTCTGTGTGTGACGGTGTGTTGCTGTTACTCCCTGTGTGTTATTGTGTGTAACTGCATTATTCTGTGACTATTATTCTGTGTGTGACTGTGTTATTCTGTGTGATTATAATTCTGTAACTGTTATTCTGTGACTGTGACATTCTGTAACTGTGACACTGTGTTTTTCTGTGTGTCACTGTGTTACTGTGTGACTGTGCTATTCTGTGTGAGTGTAACTGTTATTCTGTGTGTATCCCTGTGTAACTGTTATTCTTTGTGTATGTGTGACTGTATATGACTGTTATTCTGCATGTGTCCCTGTAAGTGGGTGTAATTGTGTTATTCACTGTGTGTGTATCCCTGTGTGTGGGTGTAATTGTGTATTCTCTGTTGTGTGATTGTGTTGTTCTGTGTCCCTCTATGTGGGTGTAACTGTGTTATTCACTGTGTGTCCCTGTGTGTGGGCGTAATTGTTATTCTCTGTGTGTATGACCCTGTGTATGCAGGTGTGACTATTCTATGGTGTGAATGTGTATGGGTGTGACTGTGTTATTCTGTGTCTGTGTCCCTGGGTGCGGGTATGACTATTATTCTTTTTGTGTGTGTCCCTGTGTGTGGGTGTGACTGTGTAATTCTGTGTGTGTGACCTGGATGCATGTAACCCTGTGTGGACTTCACCACAGGACCCCTGACTGTATCTGCCATTGCTGTAGGTGGCTTTACCCACAGGTATGGCTGCCACCAGGCTAGAGGGAAGGGAGTGGAGGTGGCCGTGCTGAGCCTGGGGCCCAGGGGGCACAGGCAGAGGGTGTGCCATTGGGGTGTTCCTTGGGCTTGGCTTGGAGAGAAGCCATCACAGAGTCTACTCTGCCCCAGGAATTCTAACCCTGGAAGCCACAGCAGGTGAGCTCATTCCCACCCCACCCTTTAGGTGCGCTCAGGACTCTGCTCCCCAGGGCTCTCTGGGGAGAGCAAATGCCATCTGTTTCTGAACAGCTTTTTCCATAGACATGGGTTTGTAGGCCACAGGATGCCCTTTGAAATGAAGTGGACAAAACCCTTCCCAAGTGGACCAGGCCATTGGTGCTTTTCTGTGTCATCTTCCAACCCAGGACATGGGTGTCCAGTGCCTCTTTCAGCAGAGGAAACTGAGGCTTGAGACAGCACCTGCCATGGGTAGAGCCCAGACCATGCCAGCTCCTTCTGCCTCCAGCCGCGCACTCCCCCCACCCCCTGTGACCTCCTGCTTCACAGAACAGCTGAGACTCAGGGAGAAAGCCCCTTTAGTGCTGCATGGGGCTCAGGGCCTGTTCTCAGGGACCAATGGCCTCAGGGGCCTCAGTGGCATGCATTCATCATTGTCACCATCTCCATGATGACTGCTGCTATCACAAAGGTCCATGTGGTGGGCACAGGCTCTGTAGGGCCTGTGCATGATCTCATGCTGTTACAAATTGTTTTATGGGTGGGGGAATGAAGGTTTGGAAAGACTGGAGGGCTGCTGGGTGAGAGAGCCAGGGTGCGACTGCATGGGCCTCACACCTCACCACTGTCCTTGCCCTCGGTGGCCAAGTCTGGCCACAGCTTGGACACTTCCTTGTCTGGGTCCAAGTCGCACTCGCTGGGGATCGAGACCACAGTGGGCATCTGTAAGCCAGTGAACTGAATGAGCCCTGACCCCATGCAGGGAGCCTGAGTGCCTCTAGGGCAGGTGCCAGGTCCCCTTCACTCCTGCATCTGTGATGCCAGTGTGATGCCAGTGTGATGCCAGGCTTACCATGACAGTTGTGCCACCAGGGCTGCAGCCAGGGTAGGAACAGGCTCAAAGCTCTTTCCACCATCCCAGACTCTTCTATACTGAGAAGCAGATGCCTTAGGCTACTGAGGGAGGAACAGCACAGCCCGTCACCCACAGGGCACAGGCAAAGACACACCATGGCTGGGTGTGGAACTCTTTTTCCTTGGAAGGGTACCAGGAAAGCATTGTGGCCTAGGATCCTGCACCACACAAAACATAGGTCTCCTCTCACTGGGGAAGGGACAGGAGAGTCACACCCAAGACCCCAGCAGAGTTTGTCTGCCACAGGGAGGAGGGGCATGAATTCTGGGGTCAAGGGCAGGGCATATCTAAACTGAGGCTGGACCAGGACGCAGAGAACTCCCCAAAGCCTACAACATAACCCTGGTGTAGAATAACAAGCAGCAGCCAGCTACAGCCAGGAGAAAGTGGGGCGAGATCCGTGCTGCGGCACAGCAGGCAAGAGAGCTGAAAGCAGAGAGTGGGGCACCACACTGAGGAACCTCCCCCAGTGCCCTAGTCCCTACTGTGGGCACAAGGCAATGGCAGCCCATTGCTAGACGTACCTGAGGCCTATGGTTCACTGAAGATAACCATAGCAATGACAAATCCCAAACCCAGCTCAATTCCTGACAAGACTCATTCAAATCCCACACTAACAGCCTGACGGAAGAGGCTTACCCATTTCCACATGTAAAAACTATTGACCGCAGTTACCTCTGTTCCATACATGAATGTTTAGTATTCAATAAAAATTACAGTTATTTTTGTTCAGAAGCAACAAAAAACAACCCACTGTCAAGAGGCAAAATAATGAATGGAATTAGACTCAGAGATGACCTAGATGCTGTAACTGTCAGACAGGTTCGTTAGATCGGCTAGTGCAGTAAAGGGTCTGGTGGAAAAAGCAGACGATATGCACGAAGAGACAGAGAATTTCAGCAGAGTTGGAACCTCAACGTCAAAGGCAGTTGCTAGAAACGCAAAGACATGGCATCAGAGGGAATTCCTTCGGGCCCATCAGCAGACATGACAACTGAGGAAAGACAGAAATGGAAGATAACATCAGTAGAAATTACCCAAGCTAAAACACAGAGAGAAAAAAAAGTGGGGAAAAACCAGAGCATCCAAGAGCTGTGTAACATGACAATCCCGTAAATGAGATCAACTCTAACTCATGATGTGGGAGTCCCAGAACAGGGAGCGGGAGTGGAGCAGAGGAAGCGCTTGAAGATGTAATGGTTGAGGCTTTTCAGAAAATAATAAAAGATATAAGATCACAGATCCAAGAAGCTCAAGAGAACCTCAAACAGGACAAAAAACAAAGCAGCTGCAACAGCAAACAGCATGTAGACACATCACAGTCCAGCTGAACACCAAAGAGAAAGGGAAAATCTTCAAGTCAGAGGGAAAAAGACGTGAGTTACAGAAGAACTGTGAGTGATTACAGCAGACTTCTTAATTTCTTATCAGAGGACGACAATGGGCAACCTCTTTAAAGTATTAGGGGCTGCGGGGAGGGGGACCACACTCATCAGCCTGGAAATACCTTTTCAATATGAGGTTGAGGCTGGGCACATTGGCTCATGCCTGTAATCCTAGCACTTTGGGAGGCTGAGGCAGGTGGATCACTTGAGGTCAGGAGTTTGAGACCAGCCTGGCTAACATGGTGAAACTCCGTCTGTACTAAAAATACAAAAATTAGCTGGGTGTGGTGGCAGACACCTGTAATCCAAGCTACTTGGGAAGCTGAGGCAGAAGAATTACTTGCACCTGGGAGGCAGAGGTTGCAGTGAGCCCAGATCGCACCACTGCACTCCAGCCTGGGTGACAGAGCGAGACTCTGTCTCAAAAAGAAAACAAAAACCAAAAGAGGCTGAAATAAGAACTTTTCGAGAAAAAAGCTGAGAGAATTCATTGCCAGCAGACATGGGCTACAAGAAATGTCAAAGACAGTTCTTCAGTCAGAAGAAAGAATTTGAGATCCACATAGAGAAATGAAGAGCTCCAAA